GCTTTACACAATTGATGTGTGTATGGATTGGGATAACAGTTGTATGAGCCCCTAATAAAATGTCAACAAAAAAAAAAGAATACCAGCCCAACTCTGAGTAAGAGTAAAGACAAAAACAACAACAACAACAAAAAAAAGACTTGCAGTTAAACAAGTGGCCATATAGCAGAGAAGCAACAAGCCCACATGGTAGAAGCACACCAGCCTGTGGGATCATGAGGTGTTGACAAATCAGGTAAAAGGCACCAGAAGACCCAAAACCTGTAGACAATATAGGACATCCTCCCACAAAGGGTCACAAGGAACGGATGAGTCAACCAGAGCATAGCACCAATATTCCTCTGGTTCTTTGAAGCTTCCTGACCCACCCCACTCCCACACTGCCCCATGTCCTGTCTTGCCTCAGTTCTGGCTAGACCACAGCATGTACACTGGTACAGATAAGAGCACATGCACATGGAATCCAGGTGATAAATCCCTGAGGAACAAAAATGGGAGTAGCAATACCAGGAGGGTAGGGGGGAGAGGGAGAAGGGGAGAAAGGGAGAACCGATCGCAATGATATATGTATATATTACACACACCCCCACATACCCAGGGAATGAACAACAGAAACGTGGGGAAAAGGAGAATAGTGGTCAGGGTAAAATATGAAAATAATAATTTATAATTCATCAAGAGGTCACAAGGGTGGGGGAAAAAGAGAAGCCAATATAGAAAGGGCTCAAATAGAAAGGAAATGTTTAGAAAATGATGATGGCAACATATGTACAAATGTGCTTGATACAAATGATGGAATGTTATAAGAGATGTAAAAGCTCCCAATAATTTTTTTAAAAGTAGAAATGTTTAATGGGCCCAACGTTTTTCTCTTGATTAAAAAAATAATAATTTAACACACATTATAAGCATATATATTATTGATGTAAAATTATTTTATTTGGTTACCTAAAGCTAAACCTCAATTAAATATGAAAGACTATAATTTTCAGTTGACCTCAGATTTATTAGTAATATGAAAAAGAATATTTAGACAACTTGCTTACCCGTTTTATTGTCAAAAAATTTGATATGTCTATCTTCATGGGCTGTTATTGTAACAGGAAGTGTGGGATGACTTACTACTCTGTTGATATGATTACTGGATTGTAAACCTAAATAAAAAGAAACACAATGCATTAAAGTTCATACTTTCAATCAAAGGTTGAATAACTCTTTAGATGGTTAAAAAATAAACAATCCTTAAAAACCAAAGCATTAGAGTTTAACTAAATCATTTTACGTGTATATAAGAACTCTCATATATTAAACTTAAACACATGAACTTTATTAATTTCATATGATACATGAG